GTGAGGGCCATGGGTAGACAGTGTGAGGTTGAAGCTGTGAGGGTTTGAGGCTGTAACAACGGAGATGGGTAGAGCCCGTCTCTGTTGTTACAGAGAAAGAGAGAGGGGAAAGAATGAGAGGGAAAAGAGTGAGAGAGAGGGAAAGAGAGAGAGGGGGAAAGAGAGGGGTGAAAGAGAGAGAAAGGGAAAGAAAAAGAGGGAGAAAGAGAAAGAGGGGGAAAGAGAGAGAGAAAGAGAGGGGGGAAGAGAGAGAGAAAGAGAGGGGGAAGGAGAGAAAGAGAGAGGGAAAGAGAGGAGGGAAAGGGAGAGAAAGGGAAAGAGACAGAGAGGGAAAGAGAGGGAAGGAAAGAGAGGGGGGACAGAGAGAGAGCAGGAAAGAGAGAGAGAGGGAAAGAGGGAGGGGAAAAAGAGGGGTGAAAGAGAGAGAAAGGGAAAGAAAGATTTTATGGTTGGTTTTAAATTTTGATATGGATTTTAAATTGATAAATTTTAAACTATGGGCCAAATTTAATTATTTTAAATCTATTTTTAATCGTATTTATGTATAAATGTTTTTATTTTGGCTGTTCACCGCCCTGAGTCCGAAAGGAGAAGGGCGGTATAGAAATTCGAATAATAAATAAATAAATAAATAAATAAAAAGAGGGAGAAAGAGAAAGAGGGGGAAAGAGAGAGAGAAAGAAAGAGGGGGGAAAGAGAGAGAGGGGGGGAAGGAGAGAGAGAAAGAAAGAGGGGGGAAAGAGAGAGGGGGGGAAGGAGAGAAAGAGAGAGGGAAAGAGAGGAGGGAAAGGGAGAGAAAGTGAAAGAGAGAGAGAGGGAAAGAAAGGGAAGGAAAGAGAGGGGGGACAGAGAGAGCAGGAAAGAGAGAGAGGGGGAAAGAGGGAGGGGAGAAAGGGGTGAAAGAGAGAGAAAGGGAAAGAAAAGAGGGAGAAAGAGCGGGAAAGAAAGCGAAAGAAAGAGAGAGGGGGAAGGAGAGAGAGAGGGAAAGGGAAAGGGGGAAAGAAAAGAGAGAGAGAGAACAAGAAAGAGAAAGAAAGAGAAAGAAAGAGAAAGAAAGGAATAGAAGCATCTCACATATCCGTAGATGAATAGGTATTTTTACCCAGAGGTTTCCATAAAGGAATGAATATATTTTCTTCCCATCAGCAACTCGTTCCTAACGCCACAATGACGCTTTGGAGACACCTCAATTCCAGAGCCTTGAATAAGCCTCTGGACGGCTAAGAGTTTCCTCCCCAAAATAGAAGAAGCTATTTTTCTCCTATTTTTTTTCTTCTTTTCTTTTCTTTTCTCCTTCATATATTCCCCCGCTGCTTTGTAACTTTCATCACCGGGAGCCTGTTTTGCCAACCCTCGCCTTCAAATCTTTCAAATAAGCACGTTGTAAAACACGGGCTCCCATATTTTAGTCAGACAGGTTATCATCCTGTTAGGATTTCGGTCCCGTCTTCTTCGAAATGAAATTCGGTTTTTATGATGAAGCTATATGGAAATTGACCTTTTTTTCTCTGTCTCTGTCTCTCTCTCTCTCGCTCTCTCCCTTCCCTCTCTGATTATTTTTTATTCACAGCCAGTGGAAAAACTTTTAAGACTTCCCACGGCAGCTGTAATTCTGCCCTCTTGTGCATATTTCGTATCTTAGGAGAGCTTTATCTCGTATTAAATTGATGCCTTTTGTGGATACGGTTGGCATAGTACCTAATAGAGACATAAAAAAATATATAGATTTTTCTTCTTCTTCTTCTTCTTTTTTTGCAAAATAAGCTGATTTCTTAGGCTACCGGGCTGAACCATGGACCTCGGGTTAAAATAGCTTTGCGATGGTGGTGAATAGCTGGAGCTCGGGTGGAGGATGAGGACGGAGCTGCGTTCTCCGAGATTGTTGGGTGGGTTGGTTTCCGAACGTTTCGGTACCAGGCTGGGTAACGTCTTCAGCGGAGTTGAGGGAATGTCAGGGTTGGTGTTCTTCTCCTTATGTGGTCAGTAGGGATTGTGATGGGGGGCAGGATTATGTCAGGTGAGGGTCTTGTGATGGATCAGGTATGGGTCATGTCAGGTGAGGGTCTTGAGTCTTGTGATGGGTCCCATCAAGTGAGAGTCTTGTGATGGGTCAGGTGTGGCTCACATCAGGTGAAGGTCTTGTGATGGATCAGGTATGGGTCATGTCAGGTGAGGGTTTTGGATCAGGTGTGGCTCACAACAGGTGAGAGTCTTGTGTCTTGTGATGGGTCAGGTATGGGTCATGTCAGGTGAGGGTCTTGGGTCAGGTGTGTCTTACATCAGGTGAGAATCTTGGGTCAGGTGTGGCTCACATCAGGTGAGGGTCTTGCGATGGATCTTATGATGGGTCAGGCATGGGTCACGTCAAATGAGGGTCTTGTGATGGGACAAGTGTGGGTCACGTCAGGTGAGAGTCTTGAGTCTTGTGATGGGTCCCATCAGGTGAGGGTCTTGTATGGGTCATGTCAGGTGAGGATCTTGGGTCAGGTGTAGGTCACATCAAATGAGGGTCTTGTGATGGGTCAGGTGTGTCCACATTAGGTGAGGATCTTGGGTCAGGTGTAGGTCACATCAAATGAGAGACGTGATGGGTCATGATGGGTCAGGTGTTGGTCACATCAAGGGAGGGTCTTGCGATGGATCTTGTAATGGATCATGTGTGGGTCCAGTCAAGTGATGCGTCTTGTGATGGGGAGGTCATGTCAGGTGCGGGTCACAGGTGAGAGTCTTGTGATGGGTCAGGTGTGGCTCACATAAGGTGAACGTCTTGCAATGGATCTTGCGATGGGTCAGGTGTAGGTCATGTCAAGTGATGTGTCTTGTGATGGGAAGGTCATGTCATGTGTGGGTCACAGGTGAGGGTCTTATGATGGGTCAGGTGTGGGTGACGTCAGGTGAGAGACTTGGGTCTTGTGATGGGTCACATCAGGTGAGGATCTTGTGATGGGTCAGGTGTGGCTCACATCAGTTGAGCATCTTGCAATAGATCTTGTGATGGGTCAGATGTGGGTCACTTCAAGTGATGTGTCTTGTGATGGGGAGGTCATGTCAGGTGAGGGTCATTGGGAGGTGAAGTGTTGGTTGTGGGGATGGGGGTTGGATGGGTTGATCGAGGGTCGGCGCCATTGCTGGTTGATTATGTGATTGATTTGAATCCTCGGGGCTTTGTCAAACAGCTTTCTCTCCCAGAATTTGGAAAGATGTAAGTTTTTAAAAGAATTGTTAGTCCTAGATTCTTAATCAGAAGTACAGAATTCCACTTCATCTAGAGTATATCTACCTGCTAAGTCCATAAATATCAGTAGGCAATCAATTGCTTTGAATTATTTAATTTATTACCAATTAATCAGTGGAACGGCTGGCCTCCAGAAGTTGTGGGTGCTTCCATCACTGGAGGTTTTTAAGAAGAGATCGGACAGCCGTTTGGCTGGAATGGTATAAGGGCTCCTGTTTGAGCAGGGGGTTGGACTAGAAGACCTCCGAGGTCCCTTCCCACTCTGATATTCTGTAACACTGTCATTTTGCGATTCTTATGTTCTTCTCTGAATCTGTATAGTGCTAATATTTGGAGATTAAAAGTGTTAGTTTTACAGTACTGTAATGAAATACTAAACAGCAATGTTTCCCTTAAACCCTATTGGCTATCCAATAACTTCTCACTATTATTAAAAACAAAGAGCAAAAACAAAGATATTTGTGTTGGCCTCTGAGAAAAATCCAAATAATATGCCCCTTCGGTTTTTGTTTATTATTATTATTATTATTGCACCGTTATTCTTATTTGGATATTCGTGTTATTATTCTGCCTGCTGTACCGAAATGAATGACCAGTTATTTTGGAGAATACAAACGGGGACAAAAAGCAAACAATTTCAAACGAAAGGCTGAGAAACCCAATGCAGTTTTTGAAGCTTTGATTTTTAAATACACCCACCCGCCTAATGTGATTGCCCTGATTGTGGTTTGCAAAGAAAGGTTTAATTTGGAGCCAGTAATTTACCTTTAAGCAGGACAATTCGAATTTTCTCGATACATGTTTGGAGTGCGTTCCTTGTCAAATCTCTACACTTTGTCTTCGGATAAAGGAGAATATTTGCACTGATGCACCAGGTGGGCAATTCAATCAGAATTAGAGTAGAGTAGAGTAGAGTAGAGTAGAGTAGAGTAGAATAGGAACAGGAACAGGAACAGGAACAGGAACAGGAACAGGAACAGGAACAGGAACAGGAACAGAACTTTATGGAGGCATCACTTCATGGCCCTTTTAACCTTCCACTCCCACTGTCTCTCCATTTGGAGAGCGGAGTGGAGTGGAGTGGAGTGGAGTGGAGTGGAGTGGAGTGGAATGGAATGGAATGGAATGGAATGGAATGGAATGGAATAGAATAGAATAGAATAGAATAGAATAGAATAGAATAGAATAGAATAGAATAGAATAGAATAGAATAGAATAGAATAGAATAACAGAGTTGGAAGGGACCTTGGAGGTCTTCTAGTCCAACCCCCTGCTTAGGCAGGAAACCCTCCACCACTTCAGACAAATGGTTATCCAACCTCTTCTTAAAAGCTTCCGTTGTTGGAGCATTCACAACTTCTGGAGGCAAGTTGTTCCACTGGTTAATTGTTCTCACTGTCAGGAAATTTCTCCTTAGTTCTAAGTTGCTTCTCTCCTTGATTAGTTTCCACCCATTGCTTCTTGTCCTGCCCTCAGTATAGCTTGACTCCCTCTTCTTTGTGGCAGCCCCTGAGATATTGGAGCACTGCTATCATGTCTCCCCTGGTCCTTCTTTCCATCAAACTAGACATACCCAGTTCCTGCAACCGTTCTTCATATGTTTTAGCCTTTAGAATAGAATAGAAGGACCTGTCTCTGATAGAGAAACAAAGGTGCGTTGCTTTACAGGAGGGGAGATGCTTTCCAACCACTCCTGTTATGGGGTTGAGAACCAATAGAGGGAACGATACTGAAGTCCTCTTTTCCTTGTTTTTTTTCTCTTTAGGGCGGACTGATTGCTCTCCTTTTGCTGCTGCTGGTGTTCACCATAGCCTTGTACGCCCAACGGCGTTGGTACAAACAACGCCGCGTCCCCCACAAGAGCGCCAGTTCCGAGGCCACCCACGAGATCCACTACATCCCCTCCATGCTTATTGGCTCCCAGGGCAGGGAAAGCTTCCGCAGTTCACGCCTTCAGGGCCACACCTCGGTCATCGGCATGCCCATCCGCGAGACCCCTATCTTGGATGACTACGACTACGAAGAGGAAGACAACCCTCTGCATCCGGAGTTCGGCTACCGAGACGGCGAGTTTGGGAGTCAAACTGGGGTGCCCCTGGATAGCACAGGCAGGAGCGGAGAGAAACTCGTCTACGAAAAGAAAGGTCAGTTGACTTCAGTTTCCCGTGCTTACCTTTGGTTGAAAGCAGGAACCAGTATGGGGGTTTTTTGGGAAGAGGAGTCGAAACATAGCAGTCTGGATGGGCAGCTTTCCCATTAAATGGATGCAATTGTCAAGAGCAAAAGATGGGTAGTTACTGTTGTGGCCTGCCAGGGGCCAACGGAGCCGGTGGCAGACTCAGACAGTGAGGAGGTTGGGGAGGAACATGGGCCAGTCCTGGAGTCTGGGGAAGGCTCTGATGAGGGCTCTGCATCGGAGGCAGAGAGGGGGCCAGGGCCGTCTGACAGTTATCAGCTGCCTTCGGAGTCGGATATCAGTGGGGCAGAAGAACAGTTGGAGCCTGTTCCCAGTGTGCGCATGCACAGAGCTGCCAGGAGAAGGGAACAGCTAAGGAACAAGGGTCGACTCAGGAGTAAAGCCACAGGTGGACGGTGAATGGCCCCTCCCATAGGGAATAAAGAGGAGCAAAAGGGGAGGGGAGTTTGCAGGAGACAATTAGTTCAATTCATTAGAGTGAAGACCTATTCCTGACTTCTTGCCAAGTATTGTCTGCTACACAGTGGCGTTGGGAAGATATCAGCCTGGCAGCTCTTCAAGCCTGATCAAGGTCTGTAGTTGTGAAATCTCTTGCAAGACTGTTGGCCAGGACTTTGCTGGAGAGGAATTCCCTTTAAACTAAATAAAAAGGGGTTTTATCAGGACGGCTTTGTGCTTTTGGGAAGCCTAGGTCAGAGCAGCTATGTGCCTCTTCATTTCAACTTGTCATTAGAGTAAAGGGGGGAAGATGTTGACTACGAATGGGTTAATTTGGAGAAATGGAATTTCTGTCGTTTCACGGGAGCTTGGGAGACTCTGGAAACCTTTCAAGGACATATCAACAGGTGTGAAGTAGAAGGCAGATGGTTCCCATAACAAAGAGAACTTGTTTTACATGGTCTACGTGGAAGCCTGGGGGGTTGGGCTTGGAAATTCATTGTTTAATATCGTTAAACTGGTGCCTTTGAAATTCAGAGTTAGTTTTACCTCGCCATGCATTCAACAAACAGTAAGCTTTTCAGAACTGAAATGATCCTAGGTGGCTCAGCGGCTAAAGATGCTGAGCTTGTCGATCGGAAAGGTCAACAGTTCAGCGGTTCGAATCCCTAGTACGCGTCTTCTGCGTGAGCAGGGGGTTGGACTAGATGACCTCCCAGGTCCCTTCCAACTCTGTTACTGTTACTGATCCAAGACTTTTTATTTGGATACTCAGGCTGGATGTTGACAGCAATGGAGTTGGCGCATGTTAAATAACCAGTCTGCAGTACTTGCCTAGACTCCCAGAGTCTGCTAAAGAACATCTGGATGGCTACCTTCCAAACTTCCATTTGTCTGTAAATATATTTTAAAAGCAACTGTCTTTTAAAGGCTGGAGGTGTTTCAGAGAATGGCAGCTCTGCAGAGAGCCAGTCTTAAGCAGTCTGTAAATATATTTTAGATGCAGCAGTGTTCTTTTAAAGGCTGAAGGTATTTTGGAGAACGGTAGCTCTTAAACAGGCTACAGAGACAACCCAGCCTTAAGCAGGTTGAATTCTGCTGGTGTGGCAAAGGCCATCTGGCAAGATATGTAATAAATCAGCAAAAAAATTCAAGGGAAAAAAAGAGAAAAAATATATAAAACAGTTGTTGAGACTCTAGAAAGAGTGCAGAGAAGCTAGCAACAAAGATGACTAGGGGATTGGAGGCTAAAACATATGAAGAACGGTTGCAGGAACTGGGTATGTCTAGTTTAATGAAGAGAAGGACTAGGGGAGACATGATAGCAGTCTTCCAATATCTCAGGGGCTGCCCCAAAGAAGAGGGAGTCAAGCTATTCTCCAAGGCACTTGAGGTGGGCAGGACAAGAAGCAATGGGTGGAAACTAATCAAGGAGAGAAGCAACCTAGAACTAAGGAGAAATTTTCTGACAGTGAGAACAATTAATCAGTGGAACAACTTGCCTCCAGAAGTTGTGAATGCTCCAACACTGGAAGCTTTTAAGAAGATGTTGGATAACCATTGGTCTGAAGTGATGTAGGGTATCCTGCCTAAGCAGGGGGTTGGACTAAAAAACCTCCAAGGTCCCTTCCAACTCTGTTATTCTATATTCTAAAAAGATCAACTAGGGATGACATGATGGCAGCCTTCTAATAATTGAGGGGTTGCCCCAAAGAAGAGGGGGATGCAACCTATTCTCCAAAGCACCTGAAGGCAGGAGAGGAAGCAATGGATGGGAACCTATCAAGGAGAGATCCAACCTACAACTAAGGAGACATTTCCTGACAATGAGAACAATTTATTAAGGAATTAATTCATTAAGGGATTCATTCATTCTTTAATTAATTAATTAATTCTGAAAGCTTGCCTTCAGATGTTGTGGGTGCTTCATCACTGGAGGTTTTCAAGAAGAGACTGGGCCACCATTTCTCTGGAATGGCATAGGGTCTCCTGCTTGAGCAAGGGGTTGGACTAGAAGACTTCCGTGGTCCCTTCCAACTGTGTTATTTTGTTAAGATGGATGAGGGAGGCTCCCATATTGTGCTAAAGGATAAATTCATTTTTGGGGGGGTCAAAGAGCGCTATGCAAATGAAATGAGTGATTAAAAAGTGGCTTCCCCCGTTTCCCTCTGAGTCAGGCAATCAATAATTGTTTGTGCGGAGGGATGTTTGTCCCTCTATAACCATGGTTCTCTGGGTAGCCTGAAAACCAATTAAGCAATAGGATCTGTCGGCAGAGAACGGCACGGTAAGCGAGATCAGAATCTGCGGGAGGAAAAATAATGACCACGGCGGTAAAGAAAGGACACAAATTGGTTTGTTCTCCCTCTCTTAATTTCTATCACACTTATTCCTAGGCAAAAAATGGAAGGAGGTCTCACTTTACTCGTTTCCGTCCCTCTGCTCGCTTTTCAAAAACTACAGCTTCTTTCAATGTACCGTGTTTTCCAGAAAATAAGCCCTCCCTGAAAATAAGCCCTCCCCAAAAAAGTAAGCCCTCTCCCAAAAATAAGCCCTCCCCCAAAATAAACTCTCTCCCCAAAAATAAGCCCTGAGTTTCTGAGCGTGTCGAGTACCAGCGACTGCTTTCACCTAATTGCAAAGGATGAACATCACCGCGATTTTAATTACTGCACCCTGTAAATTAAACCTTCAGTGCAAACTGCAAATTCAAGTAGCAACCTCAGTACTTTGAAATAACACGATACCTTGTTATTTCTCCTGAAGTTTTCTTTATCCCGAAAATCAAGCTAGCTATGAATAAGCCAGGAGTAGACCAATCATGGTCTGCTTTATTTATATGGCACTGCCAAGAACACCACCAGGGAATCAAGTTACTCAGTAAAGGGCTTTTATTCTCTTTCTGTCCCACCTCCACACATCCCCTCTCTCTCTATTCACGTTCTCCTACACCTACACCTACAAGGAGAAACCTCAGAGCAAAACTCAAGGCAGTTAGAGACTTATAAGCACCCTGCAGCTTTTAAGTCGCCTAAATTTAGACATCAAAAGAGACTGTGTTTAGATAAATATATATATTTAAATGCAGCGGTTTAAGATCTGTGGAGATCTGATCTCACGCTGGGATGTTATTTCCACACTTCTGACAAAGTTCAATTTCTGTCAACTTTCCTGAGTCTTCACCCTGCCTGGTGTTGGGTCGGTGCTCAGGGCTCAGCACCCTGGATGGCACCCCGGAGGTCAGGGAGCTGGTTGAAGTTTTAAAGCAGATTCTGGATTAATGTCAGAGTTCCAAGTAACACCCCCAACGAAAGAAGACTCCGAGGCTCGAAGTTTCTCAAAGTTCCATTTTATTAGAGATGTCATATTGGCACATCAAGGGATGCGGTAGCTGAGTGGCTAAGACGCTGAGCTTGTCGATCGAAAGGTCGGCAGTTCGGCGGTTCGAATCCCTAGTGCCGCGTAACGGGGTGAGCTTCCGTGACTTGTCCCAGCTTCTGCCAACCTAGCAGTTCAAAAGCAGATAAAAATGCAAGTAGAAAAATAGGGGCCACCTTTGGTGGGAAGGTAACAGCTTTCCATGTGCCTTTGGCGTTGAGTCATGCCGGCCACATGACCACGGAGACGTCTTCGGACAGCGCTGGCTCTTCGGCTTTGAAACGGAGATGAGCACCGCTCCCTAGAGTCAGGAACGACTACTGTGTTTCCCCGAAATATAAGACCCTGTCTTATATTTTTTTGAACTTTGAAATAAGCACTTGGCGTTTTTTGCGGAGGTCTTAATTAGTTTGGGGCACGTGGAGCAAGATGCGGCTCCTCTTGCCGTCTTACCTGATTTCCAGCTCTCCATTTAAATATTTTCGGGGAGGGCTTATTTTCGGGGGAGGCTTATTTTAGTGCATGCACTCAAAAGCCCAATTGGGCTTATTATCAGGGGAGGTTTTATTTTTGGGGGAACAGGGTAGCACATATGTGCGAGGGGAACCTTTACCTTTATACATAATACTATTTTCCCAATTTCTACTTTCTACTTCTTTTTTTCTAACACTTAATAAAATAACCATCCTGTTCAGGAAAAATATTCTATATCTATCCATCATCTCTTGCCCTCTTTAGCATTTCAACCCTTAAATTGAATCTTATGCTCTTTGCATGGCCAACCTCTGCTCTAGGCCGCGGATTGAATTGGGGTCAATGATCAAAATTGAGACAACATTCTTCCCACCGCGTCTTCTTTCTCTCTTTTGTTTAACCCTAACTAAACTTCACGCCTGCAAAAAAAAAAAAGGCTAAGAAAACAGAAGCTTAAAGAGCTAGAAACAGTCCGGTTTACCTTGACATCTCGGCCTGCATTTTTGATGCTTTTTTTTTTCCAGTGGTGTGTTTTGCTAAAACAAAATCTCTCCACACAATTTGGGGGCTGCGTGTTTTCCTTTTCCTATATTAGATGCTTTCTCCAGAGTTTTGGGCTAATGCATATTTGATTGCCTTTGTTTTTTGTGGGTTTTT